ATTCATCATATCTGTCATTTCTTATAGCACAAACAAATGCTTCTTGAATGAATGAATGGGAATGACTCAATACTAAATTTGGAAAAGTGACTATTTGTTCATAAATTAAGTGAAAATAATATTTATGGCAAGAGGAAAGCTAAATATATTGTCAGTATGCTGGTGGGGTACTCAATTGCAATAAAGTGATAAAGCTCTAGGCCAAGGGTTTTTTTTAATTAATTAATATATTTTTCATTTTAAACACTCACTTTTATAAGATTTTGAGTTCTAAATTTTTCATCCCTTCCTTTCCCTCCCCCCCCCTTTTCCAAGACAGCATGCAATCGGATATAGGCTATATATGTATGATTATATTAAGAAGATTATGTATAAGAAGAATCAGAACAAAAGGGGAAAACCATGAGAAAGAAAAAACAAAAGAGAAAATAATATGCTTCTATCTGCTTCCAGACTCCATAGTTCTTCTCTGTATGTAGATAGCATTTTCCTTCATGAGTCTTTTGGAATTGTCTCAGATCATTGCATTGCTGAGAAGAGCTAAGTGTATCAAAGCTGGTTATCACATAATATTGTTGTTACTGTGTACAGTGTTCTCCTGGTTCTGCTTACTCCACTCGGCATCAGTTCATGCAAGTCTTTCCAGTTTTTTCTGAAATCTGCCTGCTCATCATTTCTTATGGAACAATAGTATTCCATTGCATTGATATACCACAACTTGTTCAGCCATTCCCCAATTGATGGGTACCCCCTCAATTTCCAATTCTTTGAGACCACAAAAAGAGCTCCTATAAATATTTTTCTATTCGTGGGTCCTTTTCCCATTTTTATATTTATATGGTATTGCTGGATCAAAGGGTATGCATAGTTTGGTTGCCCTTTGGGTATAGTTCCAAATCGCTCTCCAAAATGGTTAGATTAGTTCACAACTCCACCAACAATGCATTAGTGCTCCAGTTTTCCCACATCTCCAATATGTATCATTTTCCTATTTTGTCATGTTAGTCAATCTGATAGGTGTGATGTGGTACCTCAGAGCTGTTTTTATTTGTGTTTCTCTGATCAATAGTGATTTAGAGCATTTTTTTATATGACTATAGATAGTTTTAATTTCTTCATCTGAAAACTGCCTGTTCATATCCTTTGACCATTTATCAATTGGGAATGATTTGTATTCTTATAAATTTGACTCAGTTCTCTATATATTTTAGAAATAAGGCTTTTATCAGAGACACTGGCTATAAAAATTGTTTCCCAGCTTTCTGCTTTCCCTTCTAATCGTGTTCGCATTGGCTTCGTTTGTGCAAAACCTTTTAAATTTAATGTAATCAAAATTATCCATTTTTCATTTCATAATGTTCTCTATCTCTTGTTTAGTCATAAATTCTTTCCTTCTCCGTAGATCTGACAAACTATTCCTTGCTCTCCTAATTTGTTTGTAGTTTAACTCTTTCTCTCTAAATCGTGTAGTACCCATTTTGACCTTATCTTGGTATGTGGTATAAAATGTTGGTTTATGCCTAGTTTCTACCATACTGTTTTCCAGTTTTCCCAACAGCTTTTGTCAAATAGTGAGTTCTTATCCAGAAGCTGGAGTCTTTAGGTTTATCAGAGAGTAGATTACTATAGTTATTGACTATCATGTCTAGTGTATCTAACCTATTTCACTGATTCACCACTCTATTTCTTAGACAGTAACAAGTAGTTTTGATGATTGAAGCTTGATATTCTGGACCTTTTGTTCTTCCAGATGAATTTTGTTATTATTTTTTCTAGCTCTAGAACATAATTTTTTTTGTAGTTTGATTGGTATGTAGGCCAAGGGTTCTTAGTATTTTTTGTGTCATGGATGCCTTTGACAATCTATTGAAGCCTATTGGACCTCTTCTATGTACTGTTCTTAAATGCATAAATTAAAAACCATAGGATTATAAAGAAAAACAATTATCATGAAATATACACATACATATAAAATATATATAAAAATTACATATGGATATGTGTGTATATATATAAGTTCACAGACCCTAGATAAAAAATTCGTGCTCTAGGTTTCTTCTTTCCACCCCTTATCTCTCCTTGCTACTTGCTACTTACTTGATCTAGAGCTTGATTGAATGTAAGCTCCTTGAGGGTAGGCCCTTTCACTTTTTCCTTTGTGTCTCCAGTGCTTTGCACAGTGCCCAGCACAGCTTAGTCAATGCTTGTTGATTGATTAGAGCTAAAACTTTTCCCCTTCCCTTTTAATTATCGCTTAACCCAGGCTGGGGCTTAGAACCTTCTGCCCATCCTCGTCCCCCTCTCTGGATGAGGAGGAGTCACCTGTGAAGCTGAACAAATACAAAGGTACAAAGGTAGCAACAGTTCCTGCTTGCAATTGATTTTTTCAGACTCAAGTTTCTGAATCAAGTCAATTGTACAAAAGTGGCACTCGGTCAGGAATACAATGTGATCATTTCCAGAATTTAAACATTTCTCTCCAAAGACAATACTCTTATTTCCTGTGAGCCTCAATCAAACAAGATGAAATTATATGATTTGGTAAGTAAGAATACCTGGGAATATAGAAATGTGTGCGATGAGCTAGGTGGCTTCATGTTGTATTTCACTATGGACAACAAAATGCGTTTTTGGTGACTGCTCCAACTTCTATTTTTGCTTCTCACTTTCTATGGGCTCTAAAATTGGCAGTAAGTCAGACTGGAAAGGATTGACATGGTAATTACCACTAGATGCAGTCATAGCAACTGCTATCCCTTTCACATTTCACAGGCTCTAATTAAATATGATTAAAGATGCAGAAAGTTGGTTTATTTCACACACCTGCTCTTGGAGAAGTGACCATTGCTATTGTGCGCAGGTGTTGTCTTCACTATTCCTGTAGGGAAGTTTTTAAAACGTGGATAGATTAAATTTTTTTTGTTTGTTTTAAGGCTAACTCTCTGTCATAGCTGTATTCCCATAGGATGTGAAAGACTATGAGTGAGTTAAAGTGTCCAGAGAAGGATAACTGGGATGGTGACGTGCCTTGAGATCAGACCCATGGGGATTGGATGAAAGAAGTGGGGATGTTTAGTCTAGGGAAGAGAAGATTTAGAGGAGACAAGAGAGGTCTTCAAGTATTTGATAGCTACCTTATGGGAAAATGGATTAGACTTGGTCTGCTCAGCCTCCAGAGGGCAGAATGGAAAACAATGGGTGAAAGTTACAAAGAGTTAAATTTATACTTCAAGTCAAGAAAAAATTCTTAATAACCGGAGCTATCCATAGGTAAAAGGGGCTGCCTGAGGCAGTAAGGGGGTTCCTCTGATATCTCTTCCCTAAAGGCCTTAAGCAAAAAGCTTATTAGACAAATTAGATGGGATTCTTGTTAAGGTATGGACTGAACTACACAGTTTCTTTCTTTCTTTTGGTGAGGCAATTGGGGTTGAGTGACTTGCCCAGAGTCACACAACTAGTGAGTGTTATGTGTCTGAGCCCAGATTTGAACTCAGGTCCTCCTGACTCCAGGGCCAGTACTGTATCCACTGCACCATCTAGTTGCCCCTAACTATATGGTTTCTGACCTACCTTTCAATTCAAAGATTCTACAAATTACTCTGCCATCCACATGGACTTCCTTTCTCAGAGAGTTGTTTCTTTTCTTTTAGTAGCATTTCATTTTTTCCAATTACATGTAAAGACAATTTTAACATCCATTTAAAATAAAATTTTGAGTTCTAAATTTTCTCCCACCCTCCTTAAGATGGTAAGCAAATTGATACAGGTTTATATATGTGTAGTCATGTAAAACTTATTTCCATATTAGTCATGTTGTGAAAGAAGAAGCAGTTTAAAAAAAATTATAGTTTAAAAAAGGAAGAAAACCATGAAAAAAATAAAGTAAAAACAGTATGCTTCAATCTGTATTCAGACTCTATAGTTCTTTTCTGCATGTGGTTAGCATTTTCCATCATGAGTCTTTTGGACTTGTCTTAGATCATTGTATTTCTGAGAAGGGCTAAGTCAATCATAGTTGATCATCACACAGTGTTGTTGTTACTGTGTACAATGTTCTCCTGGTTCTGCTCACTTCACTTTGCATCAGTTCATGTAAGTCTTTCCAGGTTTTTCAGAGGGTTGTTTCAAGATAGACAGGTGACTGTTAGAAAGTACTTTGAACTTCCTAGATCTCTGTGTGTGTGTATGTACACACAACATAAATGTGTGTATATGTGTATATATCTATCTACACACATAAAACATACATATAAAATATATCATAGAAATACATATACATGTAAATAAACACACAGCCATATACAGACCTGTGATTTCATGAAGTGGGAACTTCCTCAGTTAACATCTCCATAACTAAGATTTAGAAAGCTTCCTGGGAGTATGACAGAGGTTAAGTGAGTTGTCCAGAGTCCCATAGCTAGTATATTGCAGAAGAAGGATTTGAACCCCAGGTTTTCTCACTCTAAGACTGCCTCCCTCTCCATCATTCCATACTGCCTGGAGATATCCTATGTAAAAAGACAGGGTTTTGTTTTTTTTTAAGTGAACCCTCAGGATATGAAACCTAGATGTTTTTCTTCTCCATTTATCACATAGCAATTTGTTTCCTAATTACAAATAAATATATATTTTATTTAACTATGGATGAATTACCATCCAGAACACAAAGACACAGACACAGACACACACACACACACACACACTCACACATATACACACATGTGCACATGCACACACACAAAGTTGCATAAAGTTATTGTTTTTAATCGGGTTTTTAGTCAGTCTTCTAGACCAGAAACTCTCTGGTTCCAGGAACTATGTCTTACATCCTTATATCCTTATCGCCACCAGTGTCCAACAGGGTGCACTGTACCCAGTAGGTACGAAATTGATGGGTATAGCCAATTCCTCCTTCTCCCTACTCCACTTCCCCTCTCCCCCTTGCCCCTGTCCTTTGGTGATATAGTTTGATATTCTCCATGTTCCATTTTCCCAACTAGGCTGTGTGATCCCAAGAACACTTAGAGATGAAACTGGAAGGAAGATAACAAATGGAAACATACTTGTTCTTCTCTATCAACACATTTTCATCATTTACAGCAGTGAAGCCACCACATCTGAACTTGAATACCACAATACCAGAAGCACCAAGTGAAGAAGGGGGAAGTGGAGAGGCTGAAGTTGCAGAAGAGTTGTGGGATCTAAGTATGCAGAAGAAATCTATGCTGGAAGCAACACAAATTTGATGGCATTTGAATACCAATTTCCAAGAGATTACAAAGAGAAGATATCAAAATAATAAAAAAAAATCATGGAGGGCATAAATATTTTTTAAAAGGTTACCAATTATACATCAGTCTTCTGACTAACCTATCTGCTTGCTTTTTCATCTCCATAAAATCTTTGAGTATGATCTATAAAGGTTGCTAAAAGACATGAGAACAGATGAGGTTTTGCAGATGATTCTCTGAAACAGACTGTATGTGTAGTGATAAAACCAATGGAAATGTGTAGAGAAGTCAAGGACCCACTGTACTGTTTGATTACAAAAAAGCACGAAAACATTTGACTTGGAAGAATGAAATAAGTACGTATGTTCATATTATGTCAACTCCTAACTAGATACATCTGCAGAGATGACTGTTCAAGCAATCTTCTGATGATCAATATTAAGTGAAGCAAAAGCCAGGGAGACATTTGAGTCAAAGGTACTCAGTAATGGACTTACAGATGTTGTTTATTTCCTCTATTATTACATCAACTCATTCAGTGGATGTTGGACAAAGTCTTCTCATGTACAAACAGTTATACTGTTTGTAGATGGTCTCAAAGTTGTGCGATTCTTAGCATTTTTTTGTGTCCTTTTCCATTAGTCAGCAGTGATCACTGTGACGACTGCAAAGAGCACACAGGACCTCGTGCCATTTTGTTCTTTTATTCTGTTTTTTTGCCATCACCAAAGAATCTATCACCTAGTGACTGACCAGCTGGTAAGGAGGCTCTTTGCACTTAAGTGTTGGTTTTTTCTCCTTTGTTTTCAAAGAGGACCAATGATATACACACTTGTGTGTGAATTAGATTTAAGTGAGACAGAGTTGCCCAATGTCATCAGCTTCACTCTTTCTTCCGGAGTCATCGAAGTCCAGTGGCATCCAGTATGGCGATGGCCCAAGATGCAGTGAATGACCTTGGTGTCTTCCACGTCTGACCAAGCTCTAAGCACTCCACAATATCTGCTTCAGTTGCCTTCATGACTGTTGAAACAAATTGTTCTCATCTATTCAGACTTGGGCGGAAGTCTTTACATGTTTGGGATAGACATCCCCTTAACTCATCAACAGGTTTTCAGATCTGTCACTTACTCTCAACCTGGTTTAGCCTGTCTGCTGAGATGGTTTTTACCAGGGTGTGGCTGCTGTGCATGCTATAGCTTCCTGGAGCCATAGGTTAAAAGCTGGGTGAAAGCTGGGCACCAAAGATGGATGAGCAGACCTGTAAAGGACTCAGTAAGCCCTCATACCCGAGGTGCTGGTTCTCCTTGAACACCGCATATACCCCACATTTAGCTATGTTGGTTGTCAAATAACAGACATACTCTGTTTCTGGGATCATCCTTAAAGATTTTACAGCTTGGTGGAGCCTGACAGAGCCTGTGTTCATTTAGCCTTCTGGAAGCTGGTTGCCTTGTGCCACAATAAGGGAGTGAGGACAGAATAAAACTGATGTGGAATTTAATAAGTGTTTGTTATCATTGTTATTATGATTCATTTTTCAATCTCCCAGTGTATGCCACTGGGGGTTAACGTCATTTATTAACAACTGCTTACTTTTACATAACACTTTAAGGTTTGTAAAGCCTTCTTTAAGGCTTTCTTACATTCTCTTAACACTCATATATTCTCTTAACAACTCTGTGAGACAGGTGCTGCTATTATCCCCAGTTTACAGATGAGGAAACCAAAGATTAGAAACATTAGGTGACTTACATACATTCCCAGATCTAGAGAGAAAGTATGTGAAGTGAGATTCAAAAGTTGGTCTTCCTCACTTCACGTGCAAGGTTTTATCCAATAAAGATTAGCAACTTATTAACCTAGTTAGTCAGTCACCAAGTATTTATTAAGTACCTACTATGTGCCTGGCATATTTTAAACTCTGGAAGTACAAAGAAAGGCAAAAGACAGTCCCTGCTTTCAAGGAGCATGTATTCAAATGGGGAAGATGACATACAGACAACTTTGTACAAACAAGTTATATACAAGAAAAATGGAAATAATCAACAGAGGGAATGCACTAGAATTAAGAGGAATCAGGAAAGATTTCCTATAGAAGGTGAGATTTTAGCTGGGAGTGGAAGGAAGTCAGGGAAGTGAGGAGTTAGAGATAGATGAAATGGAAGAGCATTCCAGGCATGGGAAACAGCCAGAGAAAATGCCTGGAGCTGAGAGATGGAATGTTTGAGGAAGAGCAAGGAGACTATTGTCCCTGGATCAGTTAGTATGTGTATGTGAGTGTAAGGTGTAAGACCTGAAAGGTTGGGGATGGGCAATATGGAGCACTTTGAATACAAAACAATTTTATATTTGATCCTGGAGGAGATGTGGAGTTTAGTGCGGCGTGGGGAGGGGAGGGTGAGACGGTCAGTTCATGAACTTATTTTTAAAAATATTTTAATAACATCTTGTATTTAAATATGATTGATTTCTTTTGTAATCCTATGTATTTTATGCAGACTGTTACTCTGAAAAGAGGTACAAAGGCTTAAGCCAGACTGCCAAAGTGGTCCATGACACATGCCTCACATTAAATTTTGTTGCCTTTCAATGTACATGTTATAGTATAGTATAGTATAGTATAGTATAGTATAGTATAGTATAGTATAGTATAGTATAGTATAGTATAGTATAGTATAGTATATATATTTAGAATCACAGAATATTAAGGCAAGAAGAGATTTTAGAGATCATCTAATGAATGCTAAATCAGGCATCAGAAACTAGATATAGCATTGCCTGGGCCAGTCCTCTGATCTTGTAAAGAGTGCTCTTACAGATCCCTAATGTTACCTAATATTTGCATTTCTCCAGTGTATTAGTTACCATGATGTCCCCTGAAGCCACATAGGTCTCAGCCTGCTCGGTTCTTCACACAGTAAAGCTTCATGGAATTTAGTGCAAATCTCTTAAAAGGATAAAGGTTCTGAGGCAATCCTGATGGTATTTGACCCTCTAGCTCCTCAGAGGCTTTTTTTTTTCATGTTTAGAACCTGCACAGGGAGATAAATGCAGCCTTTGAAGATTGTCTGCTGAAGGGCCAAATTATTTAAGACAAAATTTCATTTTTACTGATAAAGTTGGTCCTAATCTCTCATGAGGGAATGCTGCCTGTCTTCAGAAGGAACCTTTGCCTTTGCTTTCTCTGAGTGGAAATCACTGGTGGGATCTTCGAGACAGACAATTGGGAAGAGGATTGGTGGATTTAGATTGTGTAGGAGTCTGTGGGGATGCATTTCTTCTGGAAGCCAGGTCACTCTTAAGGAGCAGTCAAGCAGTCAGCCAGCTGTAAATCTGCCACAGATTACAGAATATGTGAAGAAAGGGGAGGCTATGCAGATTTCTGTGAGGGGATGGTACTTCCCCTTTCCTCCTCCCTCTTAAATCCAGTAGTATAAGCCACCTGGGAAATGCTAAGACTAGCAGTTTCTACACGTCTGTCACCAAAGGGCTCTGGAGCTCTGGCAAGCTTGAAATGAGATTTTAGTATGTTTTTATGTGGCTGGGTTTTTTTCCTCCTTAGGGAGGCTTTCGTTGGGAATCAATGTGTCCTTGTTTCTGATGCTTACTATTACCCTAACAGGGATGATATACCATCCCTCAAAGATAAGGTGGCTGTGACTGTTGTTTGGGGGAAAGCATTTCAAAAATGAAGTACAGGGAATGGGAAGGACAGAGAAAGAGATCGGCGGAAGTGGGGGAAAAAAGAGTCAGGTTTCCTTCTTGTTACTGCAAAACGTAACTGAGCAGAGAAGAGCTGGATATGAGAAACTAAGTTTATTTTATTCTTTAGGACCAAGACATTTTACCTTAGGTTATATGAAGGGAGGCATGGTATCAGAACTAAGGAAATGATAATCCTTCTGTACTCAGTCAGTCAGTCAACAAGCATGTATTAAGTGCTTACTGTAAGCTAGGTACTGTGTTAAGCACTAAAGATGTAAAGAAAGGCAAAAATACCATCCTTGCCCTCAAAGAGCTCACATTTTAATGGAAGAGACAACATTCAACAACATCTATACAGTGCAAATGGCAGGTAATGTCAGAGGGAACTCTAACTTGGTCACAACCAGTAGTGTATAGAGCCAGCTCATAACTTTTCAGTGTGAGCATTTACACTTTGGAAATTAGCAAACTAGAAATTATGGCTGAATTTATTGTTTTGTTGATTGTCTAGACTTGAGAAAGTAATGGAGAAATGTTAATAATTAAATTTAATAAACTAAATAAAATTAATTTAATTTAATAAATTAAATTAAGATTAAATTTAAAAGTGTGTCTTGTATGTTCAGAGAGCCGATTGTTAAATAGTTACCAGCACATCTGGTCACACCACATCTGAATAAATCTATTGTGTTCAGTTCTAGGAATCCCATTTTAAGAAGGACATTGGTAAACCAAAGATTGTTCAGAGGAAGGCAACCCCACTGGCGAAGGGCCTTGAATTTATGCCATGTGAAGTTTGGCTGAAGAACTGGGTATATTTAGTTTGGAGAAGAGAAGACTTGAAGAGATTATGAGAACTGTTTTTTGACTATTTAAAGTGTTGTCATGTAGTGGGGATTCAACTTGTTCTGCTTGGTTCTAGAGCGAAGAACAAGGAAATGTGGATAGAAGTTGCAAAGAAGTAAATTTAGTCCTGATGTCAGGGAATATTTCCTCCAGTAGGGTGTTCAAAAGTAGAATTGGTTGCCTCAAGAGGTAGTGGGTTTCCTTTCATTAGATGTTTTCAATATGACTATTCATCAGCTATGTTGAAGAAGGGGTTCCTGGTGATACTGGATGACCCCTGATATTCCTTCCAGCTCTAGATTCTGGAAGAGTTGACTGAGTCATTGAACAGGAACAGAAATCAAACGGAGATTCAGAGTATCTTTTCCTCCTTGCAGGTCTGGTGATTGGAAACTGACTTTGGATCTCTTAGGGTCTGTGACTCAGCTTCTATCTGTTCAGTCCTATGGGATTATAGCCACTAATCCTGAATCCTGAAAATGTGATTTGGGAGGCATCATAGAAGATGGTTATAATACACAGGATAGATACAGAATTAAGAGCAGCTCTGAAAGAGGTATATAGCACTTTAGGAATATATCTTTAATAGTTATGTGCAAGATGAGTTCAAGAGGAGAAAGGATGCAGGGAGAATAGTTTAGGAAACTATTGCAGATGTCCAGGGAAGAGGTGATAAGGGTATGAACAAGGATTCTTTTCTTTAACAAATATTATTTTTAACATTCTTTTCTTTTAAAATTGAGTTCCAAATTCTCTTCTTCCCTCCTATCACTCCCCCTACTTATTGAAAAGACAATCAAAATTATATCAATTATACTTGTGAAATCTTGCAAAACCTATTTCCAGATTAGCTATATTGCTCCCCCCCCCAAAAAAAACCTAAATAAAAGCAAGAAAATTATACTTCAATTTGCTCTCAATGTTCTTAATTCTCTCTTTAGAAGTGGATTGCATTGCTTCATCATGAGTCCTTTGGAACTGTCTTAGATTATTATTAATCAGAGTAGTCAAGTCTTTCAGAGTTGATCATCATTATAACATTGCTGTTACTGTGTACAATGATCTTCTTATTTTTATAAATTTGACTCTGTCCCCTATAATTTGAGAAATGAGGCCATTATCAGAGAAATTTACTGCAAACATTTTTGATGTTACTTCATTGCCTATGAGATCCTTTAGCAAAATGTAGCTTCCCTGATAATTTCTTTTAATTAAGTTTATTTTTGCTTTTGCTTTGTCTGAAATCATGATTGCTAACCCTGCCTTTTCTTACTTCAGCTGGTTTTTTTTAAAATTTATTTTTATTT